CCCTCAACCCCAAACCCTCAAACTTCCAAACCCTAAACCCCAAACCCAAAAACTCCCAAACTCTAAACCCTGGACCTCAAACCCCAAACCCTCAACCTTAAACCTCAAACTTCCAAACCCTAAACCCCAAACCCAAAACTCCCAAATCCTAAAACTCCTGGACCCTCAAACTCCCAAACCCTCAAATCCTAAACCTCTCAAACTTCCAAACCTCAAACCCCAAACCCAAAACTCCCAAACTCTAAACCCTGACCTCAAACTCCCAAACCCTCAACCTTAAACCTCAAACTTCCAAACCCTAAACCCTAAACCCAAAAACTCCTGAACTCTAAACCCTGGACCTCAAATCCCCAAACCCTCAAGCCTTAAACCTCAAACTTCAAGGCCTAAACCCCAAACCCAAAACTCCCAAACTCTAAACCTGTCCCTCAAAACTCCCAAACCTCAACCTTAAACCTCAAACTTCCAAACCCTAAACCCCAAACCCAAAACTCCCAAACTCTAAACCCTGGACCCTCAAACTCCCAAACCCTCAACCTAAACCTCAAACTTCCAAACCCTAAACCCTAAACCCAAAACTCCCAAACTCTAACCCCTGGACCCTCAAACTCCCAAACCCTCAACCTAAAACTCAAACTTCCAAACCCTAAACCCCAAACCCAAAACTCCCAAACTCTAAACCCTGACCCCAAACTCCCAAACTCCTCAACCTTAAACCCTCAAACTTCCAAACCCTAAACCCCAAACCCAAAAACTCCCAAACTCTAAACCCTGGACCCCAAACCCCAAATCCCTCAACCTTAAACCCTCAAACTTCCAAGCCCTAAACCCCAAAACCAAACCCAAAACTCCTAAACTCAAACCCTGACCCTCAAACTCCCAAACCTCAACTCTTAAAACTCCTCAAACTTCCAAACCTAAACCCCAAACTCAAAAACCTCCCAAACTCTAAACCCTGGACCTCAAACTCCCAAACCTCAACCTTAAACCCTCAAACTTCCAAACCCTAAACCCCAAACCCAAAACTCCCAAACTCTAAACCCTGGACCTCAAACTCCCAAACCCTCAACCTTAAACCCTCAAACTTCCAAACCCTAAACCTCAAACCCAAAAACCCCAAACTCTAAACCCTGGACCTCAAACTCCCCAAACCTCAACCTTAAACCTCAAACTTCCAAACCCTAAACCCTAAACCCAAAAAACCTCAAACTCTAAACCCTGGACCTCAAACTCCTGGAACCTCAACCTTAAACCTCAAATCTCTCAAACCCAAACCCCAAACCCAAAAAACTCCCAAACTCTAAACCCTGGACCTCAAACTCCCAAACCCTCAAATCTTAAACCTCAACTTCCAAACCCTAAACCCCAAACCCAAAAAAACTCCTAAACTCTAAACTCCTGACCTCAAACTCCCAAACCTCAATCTTAAACCTCAAACTTCCAAACCCTAACCCCAAAACCTGAAAACTCCAAATCCTAAACCCTGGACCTCAAACTCCCAAACCTCAAATTCCTAAACCCTCAAACTTCTGAACTCCTAAACCCTAAACCTAAAAACCTCCTAAATCCCTAAACTCCTGGACCCTCAAACCCCAAACCCTCAAATCTTAAACCTCAAACTTCCAAACCCTAAACCCCAAACCCAAAATCCCCTAAACTCTAAACCCTGACCTCAAACTCCCAAACCCTCAGCCTTAAACCTCAAACTTTCCAAACCTAAACCTCAAACCTGTAAAAATCCCTAAATCCTCTAAACGGACCCTCGAAACCCCAAATCACAACCTAAATCCTCAAACCTCTAAACCCTAAATTCTAAACTTCCAAAAATCTCCAACTTCTAAACTCTGATCTTCAAACTCTAAACTCAACTAAACCTCAAACTTCAAGTCTTAAATTCTAAACCTAAAAATTTTAAACTTGAAAATCTTGGTCTCAAACCTCCCAAATCCCCAATCTTAAACCTCAAACTTCCAACCCTAACCCTAAACTCAAAAAAATCCCCAATCCCAAACTTGATCTCAAACTCTAAACCTTTAACGGAACTTTAAACTTAAACTCGAAATTCCTAAAACCTGTGCATCCTAAACTTAAAATTTGACCTCAACTTCCTAAACCTTCAATTTTAAATCCCTAAACTTAAACCTTTAAATTTAAACCTAAAATCTCCTAACTTTAAATTGACTTTCGAACCCTAAACTCAACGAAACCCTTAAAAAGCTAAACCTTTTAAATTCTAAAATTACTTTTCTTCCTAAACTCTAAAACCTTGACTTTAACTCTAAACCTTTAACGAAACTCAAAATTCTAAACCTTTAAAATTCTAAACCTAAAATTCCTAAACTTTAAACGGATTCAAACTTCCTAAATCTTCAAATTTTAAACTCTTTAAATCCTAAACCTTTTAAAACTTAAACCTAAAAACGTTAAATTTAAATCTTGATCTTGAAACTTCCTAAACCTTTAAATTTAAACCCTTTAAATTAAAACCTTAAATTTAAAACTTAAAAAACTTCCTAAACTTTAAATCTTGACCTCAAACTTCCTAATCCCTAACTTAAACCTTTAAACTTAAACCCGAACATAAACCCTGAACCAATAAAATTTCTAAAATTCTGACTCTTTAAACTTCCTAAAACCTTTTAATTTTAAATCCCTTTAAACTTCTAAACCTGAATTCTAAACCTAAAATCTCCTAAACTTCTTAAAATCTTGACTTTTAAATTCTAAACTTTTTAATGATCTTAAGATTAAATTTAAATTCTAAACCTAAAAATTCTCAAATTTTAAAATTTAGATTCTTTAAATCCTAAACCTTTAACGGAAATTCTTTAAAATTCTAAACCTTAAATTCTAAACCTAAAAACTTCCTAAAATTTCTAAAATTGACCAAACCCTAAACCTCAAATCTTAACCCTCAAACTTAAACTCAGCCCTAAAACCTAAAACTTCCAAATCCTAAATTCTGATCTTCAAAACTCCTAAACCTCAATTTTAAAAATCTTTTAAACTTAAACCTTAAATTCTAAACCTAAAATCTCCTAAACTTCTAAAACTTGACTAAACTTTAAACCTCAACGAACTCAAACTTTCCAACTTTAAATTCTAAAACCTAAAAACTCCTAAATCCTAAAATTCTGACTCAAACTCCTAAACCTCAACGAAATCCTCAAACTTTCCAAATCTTAAATTCAAATCTAAAAATCACTAAACTTTAAACCTGACTAAACCTCCTAAACCAATTTTAAACTCAAACTTTCCAAAACCCTAAACCTAAACCTGAAAAATCCCCAAACTTCTAAACGGATCTTCAAACCCTAAACCTCAAATCTTAAACCTCAAATCCCAAACCCTAAAACCTAAACCTAAAAATCTCCTAAACTTAAACTCCTGATCTCTAAACTCTAAACCTCAAATCTTAAACCTCAAACCTAAACTCCTAAACCCCAAACCCAAACTCCTAAACTTCTAAATTCTGACCCTAAACTCCTAAAACCCTAAAATTTTAAACCTCTAAAACCTAAACTTAAATCAAACTCCAAAAAACTCCTAAATCCTAAATCTCTGACCTCAAAACTTCCCAAACCTCAAATTTTAAACCTCAAATCCCAAACCCTAAATTCAAACCCAAAACTTCCTAAACTCTAAATCTTGACCCTAAACTCCCAAACCTCAATCTTAGACTCCTAAAGACTTAAACCTGAATTCTAAATTCCAAAAAACTTCCTAAACTTTAAAATCTCTAGACCAAACTCTAAACCTCAATCTTAAACCTCAAACTTTCCAAACCCTAAATTCTAAACTCCAAAATCCCAACCTAAAATCTAATTCTAAACCCCAAACCCTCAAATCTTAAACCTCAAACTTTCCAAACCCTAAATCAAACCTGAAACTCAAGCAAAACTGGCCAGGATGTGATCTTCAAACTTCCCAAACCTCAATTTAAACCAAACCTAAACTCAAACCTAAACCCAAAAACTTCCTAAACTAAGCTGTTGACCAAACTTCCTAAACCTCAACGAAATCCTCAAACTTCCAAACCTTAAATTTAAACCTAAAAAACTCCTAAATTTAAATTTGGATTCTCAAACTCCTAAACCTCAACGTAAATCCTCAAACTTCCAAACCCTAGTCCAAAACCCAAAAAACTCCTAAACTTAAAATCTCTGGATCTCAAACTCCCAAAACCTTTAAATCTTAAACCTCAAATCCCAAACCTAAATCTAAACTCAAAAAATCCCAACTCTAAATTGAACTCAAACCCTAAACCTCAAATCTTAAAACCTCAAACTTCCAAACCCTAAATCTAAACTCAAAAAATTCTCTAAACTTCTAAAATCTCTGACTCTCAAACTCCTAACCCTCAACCTTAAAACCTCAAAACTTTCCAAACTTAAATCTAAAACCCAAAACTCCTAAACTCTAAATCTCTGACCCTCAAACCCCAAACTCCCCAAATCTAAATCCCCAAACTTCTAAACCCTAAATTCCCAAAACCTGAAAACTCCCAAACTTAAAATTCCTAAACTCTCAAACCCTAAACTCTCTAAGAACCTGAACTTCAAACCCTAAATCTCTAAACTCAAAAACTCCCAAGTCCTAAAACCTGACCTCAAAACTCCCAAACCTCTAGTTGACATGGGCATTTTCAGCATGGCCCTAAATTCTAAAACCCAAAAATCCCTAAATCCTAAATTCTGACTTTCAAACTCTAAACTTTCAACTGAAACTTAAACTTAAACCCTAAAACTCCCAAACTCTAAACCCTGGACCCTCAAACTCCCAAACCCTCAACCTTAAACCCTCAAACTTCCAAACCCTAAACCCCAAACCCAAAAACTCCCAAGTCCTAAACCCTGGACCCTCAAACTCCCAAACCCTCAACCTTAAACCCTCAAACTTCCAAACCCTAAACCCCAAACCCAAAAACTCCCAAGTCCTAAACCACAAACCCACCTACCGCCCGAAACCCCGAGTTCCCCGCCGTCCCAGAAACGGGCGAGGCTTTTCTGGGGCAAGCAGCCCTGCGGCGAGCCGTCCAGTGCCAAGAATGGCCACATCCGAGCGCCGGCCTCGGGGCAACACGGCGGTTCCAAGGTGGAGAAATCGATTCATACATATATGTACATATATATCTATATAGACCTGTGCATTGTATCTATATATATAATATGTAACATGTATATACATATATATATATATATATGTATCTATATATATGTATATGTTGATTCTACGCATGTATGTGTTTTTTTTGGGGGACGCCAACATGGTGGCCCTTTTGGGGTGGTCTTTTAGTTTCTTGCTTTAAGCCATCCCAAGAAGGGCACACACACCTCCATGTGGTTTTCGGTTGTCACTTTCTGTGAGTGGCCAAGGGAATCCCATTCAAAGCTAGGTCCCCCAATAGTGCCCTTTTACATTTTTTTTCTTCTTCTTTTTTTCTTCTTCTTTTTTTCCGGAGGGTTCCCCTACTAAAATAGTCTACAGAAGAAAGGGTACCCTTATTCTAACCTCCCTACTGGAGGACCTAGCAAAGTGATCACCTCATCGGACTGACCAGGGTTTTTTGCGCGACGGATGCGAGCAGCGCCAAACACGCGCGTGGGGCTTTTTTGTGGCTTCGGTTCCTGGCAGATTTGGGGTGACGCCCAGTTGGTCCAAATAGACCTGTCTTTGGGGTTGGCATGGCCGGATAGGGAGTTTAGGCAATGATCAGGATTCATTCCCTTGCCATGATCGGCAGGAGTTTTGACCTCGCTGAATTTGGGAACCTGAGGACTCCTATCAACCGTCACCATGGCACACGTAAGGATGCGATACAGAGAGCATCGCGCGAATTTTCCAGGCAAACGAAGGTTCCTCTACAAATGAGCACCACACATTATCAGCAGAATATCGGTTTTGGGTGGTGCTCCATTGTTGTTTGCATGTTGACGCGTCTGGTTTTGGGTGGTCCCTATCGCATTGCGGTAATGTTGCCAGCGGCTCCAATACCTTCAAAAGACTTGCATCAATATTTTTGGGCTCTGGCGACACTTTGGAGTGGATTCGGCCGTCAGACTCCCTTCCCAAGGAAAAGTCAGGGGAAATGCATGGGAACCACGTTTCGAGAGAAAATGACATAGGCCCCTGATTCCCGTTTGACACAGACCCTTTACATACCGAGTAGTTGACCCAAAGGCTAAGGGCCTACACCTTTCTGGCCCATGCAATCTTTTCCAGACAATATCCGTGTTCTCCTTGCGGAACTCCCTTTGAAGTGACAACAAACCAAAACGTTGTGGATTCCCTAATCGTTGCAACTACGAATCAAGGACAAGCTGCAACTTACCATTTCTGGCCCTGCAATTCTGGGGCAGCGTCAAAGCCTCCGGGGGCAGGTTTTCATCATCCCTCCACTGTTCTGTATTTTGCAATTGTCGATTCTGCTGATTTGTTCTGACGCGGGGGCTGCAAAGAGCAAAGCTTTTGCTGACGTACCGGTGCTTCACTTTTGGGATGACCATCCAACTTGCATAGGGCTTGTTGAGGGGACCCTGATTGGGGCCAAGCACGCCAGCTTCCAAACAAAAAGTCAACCATAAGGGTTTCTCACATCTTGGGCGATTCACTCACGCCCCATTGGGACTCATCAGACTCAGTTGGGCATCAACTCAAATTCCTTCGGGACAATTGGGTTTTGTGAAGCACCGGGGGGCTCTGCTTCTCCTGATGCCGAGGATGTGCGCAAAGATGACACTATGGAGGTGCGTCACGTGCCGTGAAATTGCAAGCTGAAGTAGACGCCAAGGAAGCCCTGCAATTGAACAGGTTTCGGAGAGAGGATGGTAGTTACAGGATACCCACAGCGAGTCCGACCCTAACCCCGGATGACAAAAGGCCCTTTGATGAGCTGTTGTGAACAAGCGGGCGGTTGCTTAGGGTTCTGCCATGGCCATCATGCTTCGACTGGAACTAATTGAGCCACAATCACAACCTGGGTAGATGAAGCTTAGTGGGAAATAGTCCCAGCTATAGATAGGTGCGGCCAAGGAACCATGACAACGTTGGTGGGAGGGTATTTACATATCTGCATATCTACGCATCTACATGATTACATAAATACATGTATACACATATACATTTTTAAAATATTCATCCATACGCAATTGTACCTTTACATATACATCTCTATAGATTTTAGATCTCTAGATATATTTTTACAAAATCACACCATACACATAGATATTTAGATATCTAGATCTCTAGATATATCGATATGTTATATGTACACATATAAAAGCATGCATACCTATGTACCTACGTACGTACGTACGTAGGTAGGTACATACATGCATGCATGCATGCATACATGCATACATGCATACATACAAACATACATGCATACATACATACATTACCTGAACATACATACACACATTACCTGAACATACATGTAGTCAGTGGATGTGGTCATATACCGCAATGCTACATTTTCCTCACAGCTAGTTGGACGGCGCAGAGAAGTTGGCGGTTCCTTGCTAGGTGGAGCTGGCCGCAGACACGCCGGTGCCAGACGGCACCACCCACATCTTGGCCCGAGCCTCTGGGGAGGTTTCCCCCTCCATCGAATCTGCTTGCAATAATGTTGACCCAGGATCTAAGTAGAACCCGTCCCATCATCAGGGGGGTGTTCCTTGCAAAAGTGGTCTGAATCCCCACTAAAAGGGGACACCCCCGATGAAAATCAACCAGGGGTTCATTAATCCGGGGGTAGCATTTTCTAGCGAACAACATCTGCAGCGATCCATAGGCGCCAGGCACGTAGGAGCTTCAACACGCCACGCCCAAAGCGCCGAAACCTACGCCTCGTGCGGCCTGGCATTCGCCGATTCAAAAAGCCCTTGGCCCCAAATTATAAGCCACTGGAATCCCGTACGCGCGAAGGGTTTTGGATGTGTCACTTTTCATGGGTGGGCGAAAGAGGGACATGAAATGTGGTTCGGTGAAAAGGGCTTTTCTTGGAAAGGAATAGTTCACAAGTCACTGGTTGTCCTGACAAATACGCCCTTGGTACTTTTTTGGGCATTGGTCTCTCTGTGAGCCAAGAATCCTGAGCCGAGTCTAAAGTTCAGATGGCATCAGTTTGCTCTACGGTAAAACCGTTGTTGTTTCCTTCTCCTCAGCCCGGGTTTCGGGTTTCGAAAGGGATCCCCTTTGAGATCTTTCAACCAACAATAAACCATTTTGAACAGCTCACGTGCAGAATCAAAGGGCCAGAGTTTGGAACAATTCAGACCTTTGCTGATTGCAAGTGAGCTGTCTAGAGTCTAGAGGGGAGGTGTCGTGGGGTTCCTTTGGCGTCTGAACAATTCCCCCTATGAATAGTTGGAGCGCTTGGGCTGACAAGGGGGCGCAGGTGCCGTCCTTTTGGGGGCCCAATCCTGCTTTCGGGGCTGGCGCCCGAAGCTATCCAAGACTGGACTTGGTAACATGCGGTTGAAAGTCGGGCTGAGCAAGCTTTCCATTTAGGTTTATCGTCCTCGTTACGAAGGGAATAGCGTCATCTGCTTTCAGTCTGGGGTAAATTGCGGCTGCCAAGGTTTCCACCTTTTTCCTTACTTGCCGTATCAGGATGCCTCGACCTTTTGCGCCCCTCTTCCAGCCAAATTTTCTGCGAATGTCACAGGTTTGGAGCGCTCCTGCACATCTAGGGAGCGTTACCGGGTACCATACCTGCACCTCGCCTTGCCTACTGACTTGTGGGGCCATGCGAGTCGCGAGGTGTTTGCCAACTCGCCGGCGCTGGGCGAGTCGGATTTTTGCGTCTCGGCACCCTTCCAGGAGCCGAGGGGTGAGCGCTCGGTATCCTTTTTGGATGCTTTGCAATGGACATCGCAAGGCAAAAAACACCAGTTTGGGGTCCGCTAACCAAAAAGACACACAACTGACACAACTTTTGGGGTCCCTTAACGAAAATGACACAACTGGCAATAGTTTTTTCTGTAGTCAGCTGCTAGATTGGGGAGGGCAATGTCGGGACAAACTTGGGGAAGCGTGTGTCATTTTGTTTGTCAAGCCCTCCCACGGAAGCGATGACTTCGGCGGAACTCACCAACCCCAATGTGTTTGGTTGGTATCTTCCCTGCTAGGGTGGTTTCCAGTGGATCTCACATGCCCCTAGGACAGTTGTTTTACCTGTGTTGGGTAGGATTGTTATCAACCCGTTTGATAGGGAGCTTTAGACGCCATTGTACAGGTCCCTCTAGAGATTCTCAAGGGGACCATGACCATAAGGAGTTTTCACCATGACACGTACAGCTTTCCCTCCTCGCAGTACCAGCGATCTGTCGCGCCGTCACATAAGATGATCCGCTCTAAGATCCTTGTGGGAACGCCCACGCAAAAGCGCTGTTCTGGATTGGTCCACGACCGCATGTACCCACACCACACCCGGCACATGGTAAACACACCTGCCCACGCGCATCTGTGTTTCATCAACTCACACCTGGGCAAGGGCACTCCAACATGAGATAGGTCGGAACCATTCGTATTTGACAAAAGGAGGTTGGGGCATCTTTCGGGAACACACAAAGCACTCATGATCTCCGTAGAAGGAAGCCAACAGTTAAAAGGACACCATCATGTTTTTTTTCAGCAACAGTGATGCGTTTGCAAAAGGCGCACACCTATCACTTGTGATGTTTAAGACAGACAGCAACAGCTGGTTTCACCAGTAACTTGGCCGAAGGACGACCAGCAGAAGTCCGAGAAGGAGCTTTGACAGGCGATGCTTGCCCTGGGTTTTCGGGGATTTTGAGGCGTCCGCTTAAGGCAGGGCCGCATGTCCCCCAGGTCCTCCAAGTCCTTGCACAAAGGCATTGCGAAATGGGCGGCGGGGCGGTCTTTTTGAGACCGAACATTCCACAACCATGTCTGGGCAGGGATTCTGGATTCTTCCTGGAGGCACTCCAAACTCTTCCCAAAGAGGGGGGCACAAGCATTGCCACCTCGCTTTTGGCGGGTTGACCACGCAGACACACCGTTGCCTCAAAGGCCGCCAGCTGTTGGGCAACCTCAGGTTCAACCTCGTTTGCTGAAGCTCTTCGTTTTTCGCGGCCCTCGAAAACGGATCCTAAATCGGAGCGGCCCTGTGTGAGGAGATTTCGCCGAAGCCTCGCCAGGTTGGATGACAGGAAGAGCATTCCTCGCAGTGACGACGTGTGCTTCGATGAGCCCGTTTGGGTGCGTTTAGCTCCCTGCATTGTGTGTAGATGCAGAGGTGAAATTGTAAACCGTATTTATACGGGCATGCCAGTACATAGACATATACAGGACACACACACGCGACACACCGAGCCCTTTTTGTATTTTGAACGAACCATAGAGCATGATTGAGGTTTTGACCATCCGAGTTTGCTTAGTTCAGACTCAACATAAATCCTTGGAACCGCTCTAATGCCAGTTGTCGGTTTTCGGGTGCCAGTTGTACCGGTGCGGCGCCAGAGTCGCCCCGGGGAGGTTCGGCGCGTTCGGCGCGGCGCGAGAGAGCCGGGGTTAGGGAGTGTAAGAGGCGGAGCAAGCTCCAGCAAGGCAAGGTGGCAAGTGGGTACCAATCACTGACTGGCTCAAATTCAAATTTAAGGGCTGCCGCCCAGTGCCGCCGACCCGCGTTATGTTTTGACACTTTTCTGTTCGGCTGCATGGCTATGCTTTGCTTGATGCTTTGTTGGTGGTCAGCGCAATTGACTTTTGTTTCTTCCCTCAGACACCAGTAGATTGCTAGCTGACAAGTGTTTCAGAGCGCAGGAATAGGTCCGCTGGATCAAAGCCTGCTTCAAAGTGTGTCGGAGTTCTTGCCTCTCTAAGTGGCTCCTGACGTTGCTCTCTCTGCATCGGCACTCGCTTCCCCTTAGGGGAGTTGAGGGATGCCCCCACAGGGGACTCCTGCCGATGCAAGAGCTAACGCAGGTGCCACCTGGAGAGGCAAGAGGTCCGGCACACTTTGAAGCAGGCCCCCAGATCTTTTGCACCTTTTGGGTGGATGCCCGGGCTCTGTTTGGCTGCATGGCTATGCTTTGCTTGATGCTTTGTTGGTGGTTAGCGCCCCCAGATCTTTCGCACTCTTTGGGTGGATGCCCGGGCTCTGTTTGGCTGTATGGCTATGCTTTGCTTGATGCTTTGTTGGTGGCCAGCGCAATCGACTTTTGTTTCTTCCCTCAGACACAAGTAGATTGCTAGCTGACAAGTGTTTCAGGGCGCAGGAATAGGTCCGCTGGATTAAAGGCTGTTTCAGAGTGTGCCGGAGTTCTTGCCCCATTCAGTGGCTCCTGATGTTGCTCTCTCTGCATCGGCACTCGCTTCCCCTTAGGGGAGTTGAGGGATGCCCCCACAGGGGACTCCTGCCGATGCAAGAGCTAACGCAGGTGCCACCTGGAGAGGCAAGAGCTCCGGCACACTTTGAAGCAGGCCCCCAGATCTTTTGCACCTTTTGGGTGGATGCCCGGGCTCTGTTTGGCTGCATGGCTATGCTTTGCTTGATGCATTGTTGGTGGTTAGCGCCCCCAGATCTTTCGCACCTTTTGGGTGGATGCCCGGGCTCTGTTTGGCTGCATGGCTATGCTTTGCTTGATGCTTTGTTGGTGGTTAGCGTAATTGATTTTTGTTTCTTCCCTCAGACACCAGTAGATTGCCAGCTGGCACCTTTTGGGTGGATGCCCGGGCTCTGTTTGGCTGCATGGCTATTCTTTGCTTGATGCTTTGTTGGTGGTGAGATGAATTGACTTGTTTTTCTTCCCTCAGACACTAGTAGATTGCTAGCTGACAAGTGTTTCAGAGCGCAGGAATTGGTCCGCTGGATCAAAGCCTGCTTCAACTTGGATCAAAGCCTGCTTCAAAGTGTGTCGGAGCTCTTGCCTCTCTAAGTGGCTCCTGACGTTGCTCTCTCTGCATCGGCACTCGCTTCCCCTTAGGGGAGTTGAGGGATGCCCCCACAGGGGACTCCTGCCGATGCAAGAGCTAACGCAGGTGCCACCTGGAGAGGCAAGAGGTCCGGCGCACTTTGAAGCAGGCCCCCAGATCTTTTGGGTCCCATCATTCCCAAATTTCCGGGTCCCATACATCCAGAATTTTCCGGGCCCCAGAAAGTCCAAAATTTTCGGTTCCCATAAATCCCAAATCTTCCGGGTCCCATCAATCCCAAATTTACCGGGTCCCATACATCCAGAATTTTCCGGGCCCCAGAAAGTCCAAAATTTCCGGGTCCCAGAAATCCCAAATTTTCCGGGTTCCATCAATCCCAAATTTTCCGGGTCCCACACATCCAGAATTTTCCGGGCTTCAGAAATCCTAAATTGCGCGCTTAGTTCTTTGCAGTGTTTGTTTAGTTGTTCGTTTTGTTCTTTGTTTGTTTGGTTGGTTGGTTGGTTGGATGTGGTCGTACCGTGAAGAAGTCTGTTGTAATCTTACGGGGCCTGGTGGTTTGTTTGTTTGCAGGAGCTGCCAAAATGGTGGGGCTTTGGGTTTGGTAGGGGATTTGGTACGCGTGTACGCCTGTACGCGTTCATGCCTATATGCATGTTCGCCTGCACGCATGTACGCGTGCATGGGTGTTCGCGAGTGTCGCGGTTGCCGTGCCAATGGGGAAGGCGAAAAACGTGCTATTTGGATGACTTGAAGCGTGTCATTTTTCGTTCCCCTGTGCGGGAATTGTAGCTCGTAGCATGTCAGATGTTGTTTTGCAGCGCAGGCGCAGTGTTTTGTGCGGGTAGACAGCGTCGCTGTTGCGGCAGTGCGATTTGCGCTTCAGGGGTCGTTGTTTTGAGGTGTTTTGCTTGGAATGCGCGTGCAACTGTTTGCTCGAGTGTTATTGTCGTTGGCCCCGTCGTACAGGCGGTTTCTTTTCACGACTTCAGATTTGCCTGTGCCAGTTTTCTGAATGCGGCGCGCGTTGCTGCGTGATTGTGCGTGCCAGCCACGTGGCTGGCGTGTGCGCAGTGCTGGGCGGGCTCAGTTAAACGGAGGCGCTGCAGTCCTGTGCCAGTTTTCTGAATGCGGCGCGCGTTGCTGTACGGGCGCGCGTGATTGTGCGTGCTAGCCACGTGGCTGGCGTGTGCGCAGTGCTGAAGGGCATTTCTTGCATAGTGGCTAAAGGCACTTTAGAACAGAAGGCCAATCCAGTTCAGGCTGGTTTGCATCCAAGCTAAGAAGGTTGGAAGCAAGTGTGAAACGAGGAAACGTGAGGGAACCAAACTAACACGTGTTGCTATGAATGCATTGAGTTTGGTAGGCTTGGGTATGCATTGATCATTCCTTGATGTCTTGCCATTTTGGGACTCAAAAGTGGCCTTGAGCCAAAACTGGCAATTTTGAGTTAACTAAGTTCAACATGCCCCTGTTGCGTCCTGGCATTGATGTGGCGGTGCACACGGAGTGCCGGATGCTGTCTACAGCGGCCGGGTTGGACTTCAAGCAGCACATCATTCTGGTGCAGGCCCGGGGGGACCGGCCGCTCTTCGGCTGTGGCAGTCGGTGGGGATGGTGGTGCATTTTCGTCCGGGGGACGGTTTCGAGGTTCCGGGGCTGCCCCCCATTTTGCACGTGCGCGCATGGAGGAATGCGCGTGGTTTGGAGCGGGATGATGACTTCGCCTTCATGTTCCTGTCTGAGGAGGACGCCTATGCCGAGGGGGGCACAGCGCTGGCCGAAGCATGGCTGGAAGTGGCCGGCCAGGCATACGAGCGGCTGACGCCGGCGGCTGTAGCAGTGGCGGAGGGACCGCCGGTGGGCCGCATGCTGGCCCTCAATCCCAGAAAGGGTGGAGGAGGTCCTGGCGGGGGCGCTGATGGGCTTTCGTGCCATGAGGCTGTCCGGGGAGTTGACCCCGGCCTTCAAGGGGGAGTGGGAAGCTTCGTGCAGGCGGCAAGCGCAGCATCTGCTCACCTTCTCGGAGAGGGCAAGACCCGGGCTGAGGTGCGCACGCACATGGAAGGAAGGGGTTGTCCTCTCCCTCCCCAGCATGTGGATAGTACAGTATGGCATCATTGAAGTGCTTGGTGAAGCAGTCCAAGCTGCCGTTGGACCTGGGAACGATCCAGCTCTCGGCGAAGCAGCCCAGGCTGGGGAATCTGCCTGGCAGGCTGCAGTGGCGGAGCCGCCCATGCTCCCCATGCTGGAGGACATGATCGCGTCCAAGTACAGGGCCAATGACCCAGTATGGTCAGCCCTGCTGGGCTGGTGGCTGACAGCCACCGGAGTTCTTTGCTACGCGCACGTCATGAGGTCATGGCCCAGGCGGTTGAGCCACTCCACTTTTCACGGACGGTGCTCGAGGCAAACAACGGCAGAACAGGCAGGGGTTCGACTTCTGCATCCCTGCTGTTTTCGCCTGTAGCTGGCCCTTGGGGGCAGATTGCGGCGAGGTACGCCCTTTCCTTGCGCACCAAGCACAAAGTCCTTGTCATTGCCCATGCCCTACAGGCCTTTGATGCCTGGGAGGTGATCCCGCCGGAGGCAGTGGAGGCGGTGCTGCCGGCGGCGGAGAAGGCGGTTGGCGCCGCAGTTGCTCAGGACAGTGCGGCCTTATGGATCTCGCCAGCGGAGAAGGCGGACATCAAGAAGCGCCTGGTGATGTTGAAGCAGCGCCAGAGCACCACTGCAGTGCGCCAGGCCAGTGGGCGTAGGCGGGGATCGCATGTGGAGATGCCCAGCACCATCAAGGGCAAGAAGGTGTCGCCCACGCTCCGTGATGGGGCACTGCATGTGCGCTGTGGCAATCCGGGGCATGTGCCCAGTCGGAGGAGTGTGGCCGCAGGCACCAGTGTGCCATTCTCTCTCGCACGGGCCGGGTGTGTGGAGGGAACCACACAGCCGCAGAGTGCAGAGAGAAGCGCTGGGTGAATGCCGAGGTGGAGGAAACTCAGCCGATGCTGCGGAACAGGCAGCAGTAGCAGGCTTTAACCTGCTATCCGAAGCTTTTGTTGTGATTTTACAATCTGGGAACCGTAGCTGCCGTACCCTTCACACTCCTCCAGGCGCATTTGCCGCGCTAACTTGGGATATAATAAAGCTCTGTCAACATTGAAGGAAACCTCAGGAAATTCGCTAAACCGCAATTTTTGATTGAAACGGCTGAAATTTGTTGAAACGGCACTAACTTCTGCAGTTTGGCCAAAGGGCAGAAATTACGTACCCTCGGAAGATCCAGGTATCATGTTCGCCTGCACGCATGTGTGCGTGCATGGGTGTTTGCGAGTGTCGCGGTTGCCGTGCCAATGGGGAAGGCGAAAAACGTGCTATTTGGATGACTTGAAGCGTGTCATTTTTCGTTCCCCTGTGCGG